TCTTTAACCACCCCACTGGTTCTATCTCATCCTTCAACCACAACCTGCTCCTCTCCCTCCATCTCCACCACTCTTCCTCCTTCCACACCACTCACAGCTACCGCTCTTCCTCTCCTTCAACCATCCTTCAACCGTCCTCCATCCCTCCGCACCACTCATCACCACCTCTTTTTTAAACACACGAGGAGCTACAGAGGAACGATTCAGACAATCCTTCCGAATCTGTGTGCGTCTCACCTGAAGCTCCAGGTGCTGCATCTTACGCTTCAGGTGCTTTTCCTGATCGTCCAGGTGCTCATGCTGCTGCTTCAGGAGTTCTCGCTGCTGCTTCAGGTGCAGCTCTTGCTGCATCAGGTGCTCTTCCTGTTGCTTCTGGTGCTCGCCCCTCTGCCTCAGGTGGGCCTCTTCCTCCTTCAAGAGCATCTCCTTCCGCCTCAACTGTTTCTCTGTTGCCTTCAGGTGTTTCCTCAGCTTGCATCGGCGGCCTCTCCTCCCAACAATCAGATGCACCTTCGTGGCCAGGTATCTCTTGTGCCCCTTCAGGTGGCTTTTCAGGTGGCTTCTCACGTGGATTTTCCGGAATTAATACCCTCCCCCTCAGCACCTCCTCTAGCACACCTTCTCTTTCTCATCACTTCTCTCCTTGTAAACCCCTCCTGTCTGGATGCTCCAACTCTTGCTGCACCATGGTTCTTCCTCTTCCGCCACTCGAGCACGCTCGTGCGCACCCTTTTCTCACCCGCCGCATCTTCCTCCTTCCTTCCATCGATGCCCTCTATCTCGCTCTCTCCGTATCCTCCTCCCACTTCCTTCTCCCGTATTCCCCTTTCCTCTACTCTCTCCCCTATTTCCGTTTCTATCCACAAATCATCCCCCGCTTCCTCCCCCTTCCCCACTCCACCTCGACCATACTCCTCACACCCATCCTCCTCCTGTTCCCCACACTGATTCTTCCCCTCGCTGACCCCAGCAACCCCCCCCGCTCCTTTCCCTCCCCCAATCATGTTGCCCTCCCCTTGCGCCTGCACCACTGCCCTACCCACCTTGGCAACAAGGGAATGGGCAGGGCGGGAATGGTTCACTCCAGCCTCGTCCTCCATCACAGCATCTGCTCCCTCCTCCCTCCTACCTTCTCCAACCGTGCCGAACCCCTCCTCAAGCTGCATCACCGCTGCCTCCCCAACACTGCCCTCCCCCCTGGGTGGAAGCAATGGTGTTGCTCCTTCTTCTATCCCCTCCGTCTCCAACCGTGCCGAACCCCTCTTCAAGCTGCATCACCACTGCCTCCCCAACGCTGCCCTTTCTCCAGGATTCTCTTTCCTCTTCCCCCCTCCCTTCTCCAACTGCAACGCTCTCTTCCTCGAGCGGGATCACAGCCCTTTCCACGCTGCTCTCCCCCACGCGGCTCTCTGCCCTTCCCACGTTTTCCCTGCTTCTGAGTGGGAAGGCATGTGACACCCACCACTCTTCGCCCCGCTCCTCCTCCCTCCTTCCCTCTTCGTCCCTCTCCTCCTCCCTCCTTCCCTCTTCGTTCCTCTCCTCCCTCCTTCCCTCTTCGTCCCGCTCCTCCTCCCTCCTTCCCTCTTCGTCCCTCTCTTCCTCCCTCCTTCCTCTTCGTTCCTCTCCTCCCTCCTTCCCTCTTCGTCCCTCTCCTCCCTCCTTCCCTCTTCGTCCCTCTCCTCCCTCCTTCCCTCTTCGTCCTCTCCTCCCTCCTTCCCTCTTCGTCCCTCTCCTCCCTCCTTCCCTCTTCGTCCCTCTCCTCCCTCCTTCGCTCTTCGTCCCTCTCCTCCCTCCTTCCCTCTTCGTCCCTCTCCTCCCTCCTTCCCTCTTCGTCCCTCCTTGCCTCCCCGCAACGTTGATTCCTTGCATGCTGCAGCCTCTCTCCTCCTCTCCCCCTCTCTGTGCAATGCTTCATTCTAGAATGTCGCACCATGTAGTCTGGGCGCTTGAAGGTTCGAAAGCAGTGGGGATGAGGGCACGGGTGCTGGGGTTTGGGGGGGTTGGAGGGAAGGGGGGGTTGGAGGGAAGGGGGGGGTTGGAGGGAAGGGGGGGGTTGGAGGGAAGGGGGGGGTTGGAGGGAAGGGGGGGGTTGGAGGGAAGGTGGGGGTTGGAGGGAAGGGGGGGGTTGGAGGGAAGTGCAAGGGCACTGGTGGTTTTGTGATTGCGGCAGGGATGGGGAGAGGACACCCAAACCATTGAGAAAGCACAATACAACCAACAGGGAGAAACCAACAGGGAGAACACTAACCTGTTTCATTTGAGAACATATATATTTTTGAAAACGCCTACAGCACTCAAAGTCTCAAGGATCCAGTCTAGGCTCGTAGTGTAACGGCTGCACGCCTGAAGACATTGCTTAAGCAACTGACGAAAACGCTGAAGCATCTGAAGGGACGAAACGAAAGAACTTCCTAGAAACTCAAGTGGAACAAGAAGACGCATACCACCAAGAAGGTCAGTGAGGTGTTGTAGAGGCGCGAGTGAGAGAGGAAGGGTGAAGACGATATTATGGATTGGGAGAAGAGTTTTTTTAATTCTCTTTTCTTTGAAAAATCTAAAAATACAGAGGGAATGGGATACGAGATTATGGAATGGGGTACGGCAGTTAAGGAGCGGAAGGAGCCCAAGAGGTCCTTCCTCTTGCTTCCTCTTGGGTACAGAGCCCAAGAGGATGCACGGAGGTCGAGAAAGAGGAAGAGGAGGAACAAGGAAGGAGTATGGTGGGAAAACGGAGGATAGAAGGGAGAAGGTAGAAAAGGGAGCGGAATGGGAAGTGGAGGGGGAAGAGCAAGGGGACCCCGAGGAGCATTGGCGCTGTGCCCATTCAAGAGCCTCGTTAGCTGGTAATTTTTGGCGAACGAGGTGACTCACATTTTTGGGTTTATAGACTCAAAAGGCAAGGGGGAACCCACCCGGGGAGCATTGAGGTCGTGCACGTTTAAGTGCCGCTGTAAGCGATAATTTGTTGCAAACGCCTTCTTGCAGTCAGACTTTGGACACACGAACGACCTCTGCAACAAAATGAGCGGTGAGGGAGAGAAATGAGGGCAGGGGCAGAGGAACAGCCAGGCAGAGAGAAGAAGTGACTTGAGCGATTTCACTGGCCGGTGAATCCACTGGAAGGATGCGCTGTGAATGGGCAAACTCTGACGCAGAAGCGGCGATACGTGGGAGAGAAGAGAGGACGAGGGAAAGATGTGGACGAGAGAAAGAGAGGACGAGCGTTGGCAACGGGTTAGAGCATTCACCAAACGCATGCAGCATTTGGGAGTGAGGGACTGAGGACGCGAGGGAGTGAGTGAGAGAGTGACGACTGAGCTAGTGAGTGAGTGGGGAATGAGCAAAAAAACACCTGCTTCGAGTGAGTGGCCATGTGTTTCCTGAACGCTTCTCTGCGAGAAAACGTCTTCTCACACTCCATTACACATGAAGGACTGGGTCCTTGGACTTTTCTCCGTCCCCCCTCCCTCCTTCACCACTGCTGACCTCCCCTTGAAGCTGGACCTCTGCACTTTCCATGCTGCCCTCCTTTTCACGTAAGGATCGAGTTGCTGCTTCCTGCTCTGCTGCTGCCTGCTCTGTCTCCCTTCCTCCTCCTCCAACCGCTGCCCTCCCCTTGAAGCGGCATCACAACCCTTCTGATGCTGCCCGTATAGCCTAGCAAGGACTGCGTTCCCTCCTCCGCTTCCCCCCTCTTGCTCCAGCCCCACGGCCCTCCTCCTGCGGCTGGCCCAGTGGCCTTCCCAAGCTGCCATGCCTGGAAGGAAGGCGATGGGTCAATCCTGCCTCTTCATTCCTCTCCTCCCCTCTCCTTCCTCTCTCTTCGTCATCCCTCGCCTCTTCATTCCTCTCCCCCACGGTCCTTCCCTCTTCACCCATCTCCTCACCATTCCTTTTCTCTCCTTCCCTCTCCTCCCTCTCTTTCTCCTCCCCTTCCCCCCTCTCCTTCCCCCCTTCTACCGCCTCTCTCACAGGATGACGCCTCCCCACCACTCCCCTATTCGCTCTCTTTCCCTTCTTTCCCCACTTCTTCTGCTCAAATGCTTACCCCGCCCACACTCCCCACCTCCTCACGCGAAACACCAACCACCCGCCCCCTAGTCCCCCATTCCCGGCGTGCTCTGTCCTCACATGGAACGCCAGGGCGTCTCGGTACTTGAAAGCTCGGAGACAGTGGGGATGATGAGGGCACGTGAGCTGGGGATCGGCCGGGGGTGAGCGGGTGGGGGAGAAAACATGGAGAGGAGATACAGGGCACATCAATCAAAGCCGCAAGTGCTGTGTGCTTGCATGCTGAAACGATATGGGTGCGTTACTTACCCATGCATTCTGCATGCATGCTTGCATGCAACAGTGCATCTTGCCACTTGAAGGTTTGGGAGCAATGAGGATGGGATGAGAGCACGGTGTTAAAAATTGGCGAGCGGGATGGGGGAGGAGAAGTGCGGGAAAAGGGAGGATCAAGGCAGGGCATGAAAGGGGACTCAACTAAAGTGGGATCTAAGCTCCTTGAGCACTTGATTTTACAACAGAAAGTACATACTAGCTGTTGTTCTTCTTGCTTTACATCTAGCTTTACGTCCCTGCTGCTGTTTGAAAATTGTGTCTCCTGGGGAGCAACAGGGTCCTCCTCCCAGGTGAGCTTCCCTTGCCTCTGAGGTGAACCTGTGAACCTGGGAAACCCAGCAAGGTGCCTAGCTAGCCGGTAGTCACTGGATTGGTGGTCGCTTTTGAGAATTCTTCGGACATAATTCGCGGGACATGAGTCGCGATATGAGTCGACTCAAAACACGGTAGTCCTTGGTGGTCGCTTTGAGAATCCTCAACAAGGACTTGCAAAACGAAATTGCCTCACCCATGTTGTTTGCTAAGAGTCCAGAGGAAACTACCCCGCTTGCGAAACAGAAAAAGCCTCACCCGAGGAGCATTGGGGTCATGCGCTATAAGGTGCCTTGTTAGCTTGGAGCTTCTGGGGAACGCCCTTGTGGCAACCCACATGCGGGCACACAAACGGCCGCCGCTGCAGAGCACAAGGGAGGGGGCATGAGGCGCAATGAGGGAAGGGAACAAGTTTGTTATGAGGCGTCTCGCAACATTTCTAGGCGAACACCCTGCGGCAACTCGTGTGCGGGCACACAAACGGCCGCCGCTGCAGAAAGGGGCGTGAGGCACAATCGTGGGCAGAGGGGCAGGCGGCAAGTGGGGGAGGTACCGTAGGCACAAGAAGGTGCTTGGGTTAGCTGGTGATTCTTGGCAACCCACATGCGGGCACACAAGCGACCGCTACTGCAGAGAGAGCAAGAGGGGGGAAGACGAGGGGTAAGGGGTAGAGCTGGCACCAGAAGACTTTGAGACGTCTCAAAAATAGAGCTGGCAGAAACCTGGAGAAACGTTAGCGTCCGCGTGAACGAGAGCGTGAGTTCAGTGGGCGAAGCGATGTGAGCGCGTGAGGGGGAGCGTGGGTGAGTGCGCGCGGTGAGTGAGGGGCGAGTTGAGTGAGTGGACGCGTGAACAAGGAAAACACACCTGTTTAGGATGGGAGAGTGGGCGAGTGAGTGAGTGAGAGGCCACGTGCTCCTTTAACCTTGCCCGCCGATCAAAGCCTTCCCACATGCCTTGCAAGTATGCTGCTTCTCATGCCCCCCCTCCCCCCCTCCTCCTCGTCCACCTTTTTCTTCCCCCCTATCTCTCACTCTCCCCCCTTCCCCCGTCAAGTCTTCTTTCTCCTTCCCACTTTCACCAGATAATTCGTTAATATCCCGCCACCTATTGTCCTCTGCTAATATCCAGATTGGAACTTCCGTCACATCATCTTCTCCTCCTCACACTTCCCCTCGCCCCCCCCACATTCCCCCACACAAACCACTTCACACTCCTCCCCATCCCCATCTTCATTCACCTCTTCCCCGTCCCGCACCTTTTCCCCCTCCAGCACCTCCTCCCGCACCTCTTCCCCCTCTCGCACCTCTTCCCCGTTCCCATAGCTTGCCTTTCCCCACCTGTAACCCTTTCGCCCATCCCCCTCCTCCATCTAACCTCCAAACCCATGTGTGACCTTCCCCGTTCTACCACCAATTCCCCCCATCACCGCTCCCCCTGTCTCACCGCCCCATAGACTCCCACCCTCGCCCCCACCTCCCCCCTCCCCCGAGCTTCCCCCTTCTTCCGCCACATCCCTCCCCTTTGCCCCTTCCCCCTGCCCACCCTCAACCTCTTCTTTCCCAACCCGCGGAACCCGTTCCGCCTGCGCGGCTTCTGGCGAAAGCTCCGCGTCACTCCCCTGCGCGGGAACGGGCAGAGCCGCCGCGACATCCCGCCGCTGCGCGGGAATTGGCGGAACGGGCGGAAGCTCCGCGCCATTCCGCTGCGCCGGACAAGGCGAGAATCGCCGCGCGTAGCCCCGGAAATGCGGCGGGCCGTCCCGCGGATTCTCGCGCGCAAGTGACCCGCATGTACCCGTTATAAGGCGCATGCAGTCCCGCAAGTCCATTTCCGATGTATCGCTATCACCCTACCAGACGTGAACTTACTCTCGCGGATTGGCGTGGGGCGGTACCGTCGGGGCGATGCGGAACGGCGCAGCAATGAGGAACGGCGCAGCAAACGCGGAACGGCGCAGCAACGCGGAACGGCGCAGCAATGCGGAACTGCGCAGCAATGCGGAACTGCGCAGCAATGGCGGAACGGCGCAGCAACGCGGAACGGCGCAGCAATGCGGTATTGACGGGGCGATGCGGAACGGCGCAGCGTATATACTCTATCACATCCGCAGTGTACTCTATATTCTTATTACACCCGCAGTGGCGCCACCTTACAAACGGTTTCGTACTATCACACCCGCGCGCTATACCTAGCCCCGCGCAATGCAGCGCATACTCTATCACACCCGAAACGACGGCGCCTCGTTACTAAGAGTAAAGTAATATCACACCGCGCGCTATACCTGGCCCGCGCAATGCAGCGCATACTCTATCCGCTTACGCGCTATACTCCTGACAATCACATTTATGTCCCGTTGCACTTCCAAGACCTAACCCGTTCAAGCTGCCCGCAGCGCAACTAGAAGTATCCGTTGCGTTGAGCATAGAAACTGGCGGAACGCGAGTGATACGAAATTGGCGCCCAATAATAGTTGCGGCATTGGCTACCCCGCGTTAGAAATTGCTGGGGTAGAAAACATTCGCAAAAGCATTTGGTACAGATACATATACAAACTCTTTTCAAACAGTCCTGAACCTTTTGAGAGGATGAAATTCGAGCTACACTACCTACATCACTTAAACTAGCTCATAGTAAGATCTAGCATTTTCAAGAGCGAAATTATCCAGGCACTAAAGAAGCAACGAATAACAGATCAGGCCACACAACCTCCTGTACAAGATGCAATACACTAGGAGCGTTCCATGATGACAGAAGGGTTTTGAGACGTTGAGCTGAGATGTCTAGAAACTAACACGCAGTGCACCGGGAGCACTCCTTGTAGAGCATTGCCAAAGCACAAACATAGAGTAACGAACTCCTATGTATGCCCGGCTTCTCCAATCCCAATCATGACTGCATGTATGGATATCTCCTCACTGATCCCTCCCTGATGTTATACTGTACAAAGATCTTCCAATACCTGACAATTAGTTCCTCCAGCCATCCTGCAACCTCTCCCTTTTCTTCCCCGGGACCATGCTCCCTCTCTCTTCTCCTTCCCTTCCCTTCCCCCCGACTAGTCACCCGCACCACCACCCTCCTCCCCCTCCACTCACCACTCCTCCCTTCTCTCCGCATCCTCTCCATCCCCCTCCCTTCCTCCACCCCTATACCACAACCCCCCTCCACTCCCTCCATCATTCACCCCAACCACTCTTCTCTCTCATCCTTCACCACACCTCGCCTCCCTCCCTCCCCCGCCAACCCCACCCCCTCCATATCACCCATTCCCAACCCCTATTCTCGAGCCACGAGAATGTACAGAACGACGAATCAGGCGATCCCTCCGAATTAGGAGTGCGCCCCTCTGCACCACTCACCACCACCCCCCTCCGCGAACCACGAGAACGCACAGAGCGACGACGCAGGCGATCCTCCGAATCTGCATGTCTCTCTCTCCACCACTCACCACCGCCTCCTTTCCCGAACCCGAGAACGTACAGAGCGACGATTCAGGCGATCCCTCCGTCTTCGCGTGCGCCTAACCTGAAGCTCCAGGTGCTGCCTTTTTCGTTTCAGGTGGTTCTCCTTATCGTTCAGGTGCTCGTTCTGCTGCCTCAGGTGTTCCTCCTGCTGCCTCAGGTGCAACTCTTGTTGCTCCCTCTGTTCTCTTATCTGAGCCTCTTTCTGTCTCAGGTGCTCGTCCTGTTCCTTCAGTTTGCTCCTCCCTGCTGCCTCAGGTGTAACTCTTGCTGCTCCTTTTGTTCCCCTCAAATGGTCCTCCTGCTGCCTCAGGTGCTCGTTCTGTTGCTTCAGATGCTCCTCCTGTTGCCTCAGGTGCAACTCTTGCTGCTCCTTCTGTTCTCTAATATGGTCCCCCTGCTGTCTCAGGTGCTCTTTCTGTTTGTCCAGGTGTTCCTCCCTCTGGCTCAGATGGACCTCTTCCTCCTTCAGGAGAAACTCCTTCCTCCTCAGGTGCTTCTTCTCTGTTGCCTTCAGGTGATTCCTCAGCTTGCATCGCCGCCCCTTCCTCCCCACAAAATGATGCACCTTCGTGCTCAGGTACCTCTTCTGCTGCCTCAGGTGATTTTTCAGGTAGCCTCTCTTGTAACCAGCGCCCTCCCCCTCAATGACTCCTCCAACACGCCTTCGCTTTCTCCTGTAACCAGCTCCCTCACTCCCAATGCCTCCTCCCCCTCAACGACTCCTCCAACAGGCCTTCGCTTCTCCTCACCGCTTCCCTTCGCAGCAACCCTCTTCTACGGGCCTCACTCGTTGCTGCACGCTCTGCACGCTCGTTGCTCCTCCACCGCTCTCGAATGCTTTGAACCGACTCAAACCCAGCCCCATTTTCCCTCACTTCCTTCCCCTTCCCCACTTCACCTCGACCATCCACGTCACACCCATCCTCCTCCTCTTCCTTCACCTCACACTTATGCCCTCCCCCACCATCCCCAGAAGCTCCCCCCTCCCCCTTCCATCCTCCACGCGCACTCCTCCCGCTCCCCCCCCCAGGCTGCCACCTCTCCTCTCCACTCTCGGCCCCAGCCCCCCCCTCCGCTCTTCCTCCTCCAGCCGCGCTTCCCTCCCCTTGAGACGGCAGCATCACTGCCTCCCCCATGCGGACCTCCCCCCTGGGAGGAAGGAATTGGAATTGGGGTGCCCCTTCCTCTCCCCACCGCCCTCCACAATCATTTCCCTCCCCCTTAGAAGGGAGCCGATGAGGTACTAATTCCTGTTCTTCATTCCTCTCGTCCCCTCTCCTTCCTCTTCATCCCTCATAGCATCTGCTCCACTCCTCCCCCGTCCCTCCCCCAGCCGTGCCAAAACCTTCTTGAAGCTGTGTCACCTGCCCTTCCCACGCTGCTCTCCACATGGCCACACCTTTGAATAAAGGGTAGGGGATCCTCCCTCTTCGTCCCTCTCCTCCCCTCCCCTTCCTCCTTCATCTCTTTCCTCCCCTCCCCTTCCTCCTTCTCTCTTTCCTCCCCTCCCCTTCCTCCTTCATCTCTTTCCTCCCCTCCCCTTCCTCCTTCATCTCTTTCCTCCCTCCCCTTCCTCCTTCATCCCTCTCCTCCCCTCCCCTTCCTCCTTCATCTCTCTCCTTCCCTCCCATTCCCTCTTCGTCCCTCTCCTCCCCGCTCCTTCCCTCTTTGCCCCTCACCGCACTCGTTCTCTCCTCACCTTCACGCCCCCCTTCCTGCCTAAAGCCTCCTCGTTCCTCTCCTCCTCCTCTTTCCCTGTTCGCCCCTCTCATCCCCCCTCGTTCCCTCTTCCCTCTCTTCCTCCCTCCTCGCCTCTTCCTCCCTCCTCGCCTCCTCCTTCCTCTCCTCCCCCCTCCTCCCCTCTTCTTCCCTCTCCTCCCCCCCTCCTCCCCTCTTCTTCCCTCTCCTCCCCCTTCCTTCCCTCTCCTTCCCTCTCCTCCCCCCTCGCCTCTTTGCCCTTCTCCTCCTCCTCCCTCCTTCCCTCTCCCTTACTGAAAAAATCACCCTCCTTCTCGCCTCCATGCATCCCCACCTCTCCCCCATCCGCCCTTTTCCCCTTCTTCCCCTCATGCACACTCTTTACCCAACCCCCGCTCCCCACCACCCCACCAGACACACCAATCACCCTCCCTCCACTCCCCCTTCCGTGCCATGCTGCGTACCTACAAGCCGTGCCATGCCCCCATTCCCCCCCTCCTGACAACGCTGCTTCTTGCACGCTGCAGCTTCTCCCCTCTTCCCCCCTCTCCGCAATGCTGCTTCCTTGCATGATGCAACATGTGGTCTCGACGCTTGAAGGTCCGAGAGAGCAGTGGGGATGAGGGCATGGGTGCTGGTGATTAAAGGGGGGGGGGGGGGGGGGGGGGGGGGGGGGGGGGGGGTGGGGGGGTGGGAAGAGGAAAACAGGGAGAGGAAACTCAAGACGCCCTGAATATGGCACAATGCAGCACCCTTGCATGCTGCTTCCTTGCATGATGCATCATGTGGTCTCGACGCTTGAAGGTCCGAGAGCAACGGGGATGAGGACACGGGTGCTGGTGAATACCGGAGAGAGTGGGGGTGGGGAAGAGAACAGGTAGTGGAGAATTGAACAGCACCAATTAGACCGCATCGTGGCATCCTTGCAATTAGACCAATCAGACTGCTGATGACAGTTTTTCAGTCGCTTAAGAGTCACCTCGAAGCCGCTTCCTTGCAATCAGGCCAATGGGACTGCTGACGGCAGTAAACTCCATGTCTCCTTGATAGAAGCAGAAGCAGAGCTCAAGAGAAGTTGACGACATCGTAGGAGAGGCGAGAGAGGGAGGACGGGTGAAGAAAGCAAAGGGGATGGGATGGGAAGATGCAATATGGACAGGGAGGGGATGGTGGAAGGGGACGAGGACAAGGAGGGAGTGAGAGGAGAGAAAGAGGAGGAGCGAGAGAGGAGGAAAAAGGGAGAGGAAAGGGAACAGGGGGACGAGGAAAGGAAATAGGGAGAAGAGGAACGGGGGCAGGGGGAGCTGCAAGGAGAAAAGGGAATGGAGAGGGAGGTGGGAGCGAGGAGGAGAGAATGAGAGAGGAAAACTACCCGGGGGGCATTAGGGTTGTGCACTAGAAGGTGCCTCGTCAACCAGCAGTTGAGTGCGAATGCCTTTGGGCAATTTTCATGAGGACACACGAACTGCAGTGGACGAGGGAAGGAAGCAAGAACATTTGCGCCTATTCTTTGACCCATTTTCATGCGGACGGACACACCAACTGATGCAGTGGAAGCGATGAGGCAATGAGGGAACATGCGGACGAGGGGACGAGGGTAAGACAGACAGGAAAACATGTCGAGCCAGGATCACAGACAAGGCGCCCAGAGGGTGTGTGAGAAAGGGAGAGGATGAATGAGTGTGTGAGCAAATGAGCGAGCAAAGTGAGTGAGTGGTCGAGAGAGCGAGAGATTTAATGAGTGAGTGAGTGGGAGAGTGGGAGAGTGAGAGAGTGAGAGAGTGAGTGCGGGAGAGAGAGAGTGAGAGGAAACACACCTGCTTTGAGTGGGTGGCCATGTGTTTCTTGAACTTTGCCTTTTGAGAAAAACGCAATCCCACACTCCTCACAATGCAGCATCTTTGCATGCCGCACCATGTTGCCTCGACGACTGAATGTCCAAGAGCAGAGGGGATGAGGGCATGGGTGCTGGTGGTTTGGTGGTGGGAGGTGGGGGGTGGGGATAGAAAACAGGGAGAGGAAACACAAGACGCCTTGATAAAGCCCCAATGCAGCATCTTTGCATGCCGCACCATGTTGCCTCGACGACTGAATGTCCACGGGCAGTGGGGATAGGGCATGGGTGCTGGTGATTGCGGGGAGGGTGCGGCCGGGGATAGAAAACAGGGAGGGCACATACAAGCCGCAATTCTTGAAGGGGACGGGGAAGTGGACAAGGATTATAAGGGAGCGAGAGGAGAGGAAGAGGAAAAAGGAAAATGCTGGGAAAGGAAAAAGGAAAGGATTATGAGGGAGCGAAGGAAAACAAAAGGGAGCCACAATTTTTGAAGGGGACGGGGAAGTGGACAAGGATTATGAGGGAGCCAGAGGAGAGGAAGAGGAAAAAGGAAAAAAAAAAAAGAGGGGGAGAGAACGAGAGCAGCTTACTTGGGGGGCATTGGGGAAGATGCTGGGGTTGTCAACTTGTGGAAACGGAGAAGGGGGTAGGGGAAGGGGGGAGAGGGGGGAGAGGAAGGGGACAGAGGGGGGAGAGGAAGGGGGAGAGGGGGGAGAGGAAGGGGACAGAGGGTGGGAGAGGAAGGGGGGAGAGGGGGAAGAGGAAGGGGACAGAGGGGGGAGAGGAAGGGGGGAGAGGGGGGGGAAGAGGGAGGAATGGGATTTGGAAGGAGGAGAAGGAGCGAGAGAAGCTCACCTGGGGGGCATTGGAGTTGTGAAGGAGAAGATGATCCTTCAACTTGTACTTGAATGCGAAAGCCTTTTGGCAGTTGGCATGTGGACAGACGAACTGCAGTGGACGGGGCATTGAAGGGACGGAAAAAGGAATTGTAGAGAAACAGCTCGCACCTATTCGACCGCACTGCTGCTTCCTCGGATGCTGCTCCTTGGCAATGGCATGTGGACAGACGAACTGCAAGAAGGGATGGAGGGGACTGAACGAGAATTAAACGAGTGGGAAGTCTGAGTTGAAGGGAGAGAGTGAGTGAGTGTGCGAGTGAGTGAGTGAGTGCGTGAGTGATGGAGTGAGGGAGGGAAGCACACACACACCTTCTTCGAGTGGGTGGCCATGTGATTCCATAACCTTGCCGACAGAGGAAACGCCTTTCCACACTCCTTACACGTGTTAGTCATGCCCAACCCTCCCCCTCTCCTTCTTCCCCTTCCTCTCCCCTTTCTCCTTCTCCTTCCCCTCCCCACTCTCCTTCCCCTTCCCCTTTGGCTTCCCCTTTCTTCACCTTACCTGCCCCCCTCTCTCCCTCCCCACCCTCCACCTCCCTTGTCGGCCGTGTACGTTTTTCCCTCTCCTCCCCACTTTTACAGAGGAACTCATTAATAATCACACACTTTACCATCAAAATCTCTGCTCTCCCCCACGTCACTTCCCAAACACCCTCCTCGTCCTCTCCTACCCACTCCACATTGCCCTCATCCCCATCCCCATCTTCCCCCACCTCTCCCCCAACTCCCATTCGACCCTCCCCCATCCCACCACCATCACCCGCCAGCACTCCTCCCACCCTCCCACCACCCCATAACCCCCTCCTGCCACCTCCCCCGCGGCATCCCCCTGTTTCCACCGTATCCCTCCCCTCTTCCCCTCCCCCCTGCCCAGCTTCCCCTGCTGCTCCCCCAACCCGCGGAACCTCTTCCGCCCGCGCGCCTTCAACCGCAGCCTCCGCGCCATCCCCCCGCGCGGGAACAGGCGGAACGGGCGGACCGTGCAGGACGGGCCAAACCGGCACAACCCCCCTCGCATTCCGCCTCTGCGCAGGAACAGGCGGAAGCTCCGCGCGATTCCGCTGCGCCAGGCGAGGCGAGAACCGCCGCGCGTAGCGTCGCAGAGGCGGGGGGGCGTTCCGCGAATTCTCAAGTCCGAGAATCACGCTGATGCCCGTTGGAAGGGAATCGCGTGGTACGACAGCCGCGCCGATGCCCGTTGGAATTTCGCTTGCATCCCGCCGCGAGTCCATCACGAATCTGCCGTCCGTTCCACGTGGGAGTAATTCCCGCCCTCTCGCAAGCAGCCTAGCACCCTACTAGACGTGATTTGCTATTTCCCGAGGTGACTTGCGAGTCGATCACCAGTCAACTACACTGTGAAAATATTTTCCCGCATAAAAAGCGTGTTTCTATCACACTGGCGCGGTTTAATCGCCTCCGCTACGCCGCTCTGCACTAGAATCCCGCTCGTTCGATTTTTTAGGCGCCTCAAGATTCCCGCTCGTGCGACCACGCACCGCGCCGTGCATCAAACATGACCCCGCACTCTCCCGATATGCCCCTCCTCTCTAACATATATTCTCCCCCTCCCCCTCGCACTCTAGCGGGAAACGATAAGAATGCTGATGGGAAAGAAAACGGGACCGTTTCTGTCTGTTCGAGGCGAACAGCCGTGCCAAATCGCGCAATTTTCGAAATTCGCACCCCTCTTGCCAGCAAAAGCTGGGACGAGAATTCCCTGCCATGGGGGTGGCGAATTGTTGCATCAGGGCTCCGACATTGGCTGCCCGCACTAATGGCGCAGGTGAAGAAAACAATTTGGAAATGTGAATTCCATATATACATATTTACACGTTTCTGTACAACGTAATAGATTTATGGAAGGGGGAGCAAGGGAGATAGTGAGGTACGTACGTCACATAACAATCAAATTTTTTGAAATAAAAAATGTAAAATATTCGTTTTTGTGTAAATATTTTGTTTCGCATGACATTACAAAACTCTTATTTTGTTTCGCATTACATTACTTTGTATAAATAATTTGTTTCGCATGCATACTTATATACTGCTAGCTTTGTTCATATGGTTACGCCAGGGTGGGGCACGTGGGGTGCAGGGTGCTTCTCCTGGTTGTCTCCTGCATTCCCCCCCGCCTTCCTCCAACCTCTCCCCTTCCTCCCCCAAAACCATGCTCCATCCTCTCTCTCTTCTCCTTTCACCACCACCCCCACCTCCTCTCCCTCCACTCACCACTCCCTTGTTTTCTCAATTCTTCACCATACCCCCCCCTCCACTCCCTCCATCTTTCACCCCACCATTCTTCTCTCTCATCTTTCACCACCCTCCCTCATCCCTCTCCTCAACCCCACCCTCCAAACCACAAGCACATACACAACAGCAACCCAGGCGATCCTTCCGAATCTGTGTGCGTCTCACCTGAAGCTCCAACTGCTGCCTCTTACGCTTCAGGTGCTCCTCCTGCTGCCTCAGGTGCTCGTTTTGTTGCTTCAAGTGCTCTTCCTTCTGCCTGAGGTGAATCTCTTCCTCCTCCAGAATCTCTTTTTCTTGCTCCAGGTGCCCCACCTCTGTTGCCTTCAGGTGTTTCCTCAGCTTGCATCGGCAACCTCTCCTCCCCAGAAAGAAATGTACCTTCATACTCAGGTACCTCTTTGGCTTCCTCAGGTGACTTCTCAGGTGGCTTTTCCTGGAACCAGACCCCTCCTCTTCCACTCCTTCAACACGCCTCCTCTTTCTCACCGCCTCTCTCCTTGTAAATCCCTCCCCTCGGGGTGCGCCAGCTGGTGCTGCACGCTCGTGGCTCATCCACTGATCTTGAACGCTTTGTGCTGACTCGAAGCAAGTCCTTCTTTCTGCATCACGCCTGTTTCTCTTGCACCCTTCCTGCATGCTTCTGTGCGCCTTTTGGTGCTCCTCCACTTGCTCCTCCTCCTCTTGCTGCTCCTCCTCTTTCTCCTCCTCCTCTTTCTCCTCCTCCACTTGCGCCTCTTCCTCTTGCTGCTCCTCCTCTTTCTCCTCCTCTTTCTCGTCCTCCACTTGCTCCTCTTCCTCTTGCTGCTGCTCCTCTTTCTCCTCCTTCCCTTTCTCCTCCTCCACTTGCTCCTCCTCCTCTTGCTGCTGCTCCTCTTTCTCCTCCTTCTCTTTCTCCTCCTCCAATTGCTCCTCCTCCTCTTGTTTCTCCTCCTCCTGTTGCTCCTCCTCTTGTTGCACCTCCTCTTCCTGCTCTTCCTGTTGCTGCACTCCCTCTTGCTCCTCCTCCTCTTGCCCCACTCCCTCTTGTTTCTCCTCCTCTTGCCCCACTCCCTCTTGTTTCTCCTCCTCTTGCCCCACTCCCTCTTGTTTCTCCTTCTCTTGCCCCACTCCCTCTTGTATCTCCTCCTCTTGCCCCACTCCCTCTTGTTTCTCCTCCTCTTGCCCCACTCCCTCTTGCTCCTCCTCCTCTTGCCCCACTCCCTCTTGCTCCTCCTCCTCTTGCCCCACTCCCTCTTGTTTCTCCTCCTCTTGCCCCACTCCCTCTTGTTTCTCCTCCTCTTGCCCCACTCCCTCTTGTTTCTCCTCCTCTTGCCCCACTCCCTCTTGCTCCTCCTCCTCTTGCCCCACTCCCTCTTGCTCCTCCTCCTCTTGCCCCACTCCCTCTTGCTCCTCCTCCTCTTGCCCCACTCCCTCTTGTTGCACCTCCTCTTGCTGCGCCGCCGTGGTTTGGGGCGCCTCACAACTTGTGTGCGCCTCACAACTCGTGTGCACCTCACAACTTGTGTGCACCTCTTGCTCACCCGCCGCATCTTCCTCCTTCCTTCCATCCATGTCCTCTCTTTCCCTCTCCCACTTCCCTCTTTCCTCTGCCCTGTCTCTTACTCCCCCTTCCTCTTTCCCCTTCCCTCCTCCCTTTTCCTCTTCCATCGCCCCTCCTCCTCCTTCATATGCCCTCTCCCATCCTCCTCTATCCTCTGCCCTACCCCCCTCCTCCTCTGATTCTTCTCTACCCTCTTCTTGCCCCCTCCAATCGTTACCTCTCTCCCCACATATCCCCGCCGTCCTTTCTTCCACCAGCCCCTCAGCTTCTCCAGCCAAACTACCTTCTCCCAACCCCCCACTTTCTCCCAACCCCAAATCTTCCATCACTTCCTCCCCCGCCTCCTCCCCAACTTCCTCCTCTTTCCCCATTCCATCTGGACCATCTTCCTCACACGCATCCTCCTCTTCCTCTTTCTCACACTGATTCAATTCCCCACTTCCCATGCAGCCCTCCCCCTCGGGACGGACGGGAAGCGGTGCTCGCTCCTCGTCTTCCCTCACAGCATTGGTTCCCTCCTCTTCCCTCCCCTCCCCACTCTCCCCTTGAAGCCAGACCACTGTCATTTCCACACCGCTCTCCCCCCATCTCCCCCCCACAGAAACCAAATGAGCTCCTTCCTTCTCATCTTCCCTCACAGCATCGCCTTTCCCCTCCTTTCTCCCTCTTCCAACCGCGGCACCATCTACCTGAAGCTGGTTCATTGCAAAACCCACCACACCGTCTTCCCTGAAAAGGACCGGATGCGCTCCTATCTCCTCGTCTGTCCTCACTGCATCAGCTCCCCCCTCCCCTCTCCCTCCTCCAACTGCGATCCCCTTTTCTTGCAACTGCCACATTGCCTTCTCCACATTGCCCCCCCCCTTCCTCTCCTCTTCATCCCCCTCCTCCTCCCACCCTCCCTCTTCATCCCTATTCTCCCTTCTCCTTTCCTCTTTCCCACTCACGTCAGTCATTTCTGTCTCACCTCCATGCTTCCCTTCTTCCCTGTAAGCCCCTTTGTCCCTCTCCTCCCCTGTCCTTCCCTCTTCGCCCTTCTCCTCCCCCTTCCTTCCCTCCTCTTCCCTCTCCTCCCCAATCCTTCCCTCCTCACCCTTGTCGATCCCCTTCACTCCCTCTTCATCCCTCTCCTCCCCCCTCCTTGCCTCTTCCCCCCTCACAGCACTCGCTTCCTTCTCCTCTCCATGCTCCCCTTTCTCCCTAGTAGCCTCTTCGTTCCTTTTCTCCTCCCACCTTTCCTCCTCCCACCTTTCCATCTCCCGCCTTTCTTCCCGCACAGGAAGTGACAGGGGTACTTCTTTCTCTGCATCCATCTCCTCCCCTCCCCCTCCCCCTTCATCCCTCTCCCCCCCCTTCCTCCCCTCTTCCCCACTCACAGCACTCGCTTCATTCTCCCCTCCATGTTCCCCTTTCTCCCTAGGACCCTCTTCGTTTCTCTCCTCCTCCCATCTTTCCTCCTGCACAGGTAGTGACAGGAGTATGTCCCCCGCTGCATCCATCTCCTCCCCTCCCCTTCCCTCTTCATCCATCTCTCCCCTTCCCTCTTCATCCCTTTCCTCCCCTCCCCTTCCCTCTGTGAGAGAAAGCGACAGGGGTACTTCCCCCTCTCCATCCATCTCCGCCCCTCTCTTTCCCTCTTCTTCCCTCTCCTCCCTGCTCCTTCCCTCTTCTCCACTCACATAAGTTGATTGCCTCTCACCTCCATGCTCGCCTTTCTTTCTGAAAGCCTCTTCGTTGCTTTCCTCCTCCCCCCTCTCCTCTTCGCCCCTCTCCTCCACCCTTCTTTCCTCCTCGTCCCTCTCCTCCACCCTTCTTTCCTCCTCGTCCCTCTCCTCCCCTCTCCTTCCCTCATCTTCCCGCTCCTCCTCCCACCTTCCCTCTTCGTCCTTCTCCTCCCCCTTCCTTCCCTCTTCCCCACTCACAGCATCAGCCCTATTCTCGCCTCCTCGCCTCCCCACTGCTACCCCATGCGCCCTCTTCCCCCGCTTCCCCCAACGCACACCCCTTACTCCGCACCCGCTCCCCTTGCCAAACACACCAATCACCCCGCCCCCCCCACTCCCCATCACCCCCCAATGCTGCTTCCTCGCATGCCGTACCATTTCGCCAATCCCTCCCTGCCCCCTATGCACCGTCCTTGCATGCCGCACCATGTTATATCGGCGCTTGAATGTCCAAGAGCAGTGGGGATGAGGGCATGGGTACTGGCGATTGCGGAGGCAGGGAGAGGGATAGAGAGAGCATGGGTATTGGTGATTGCGGGGGCAGGGAGAGGGATGGTGAGAGCATGGGTACTGGTGATTGCGGGGGCAGGGAGAGGGATAGAGGGAGCAAGGGTATTGGTGTGGCTTGACAATTGGATGGGGGGAGAACACAGGGAAACCAAGGCAGGGTGCCGGGAAGGAGAAACACATCCGCGTATAAGGATAATATGTTTGCTTTTAATCCGTTTGCTAGATATAAGTAATCATGGAAAATCCTGTAACAAGGAGAGGCGAGTGAAGACAGGAGTAAGCAACGGTGAAGGAAAAAGGAGAGGACGGAGTAAGAGGAACGCCAAGAGGAAGGAAGGGGAAGAGGAGGGAGTGTGAAGAGACGAAGAGAAGGAACAAGGAAAGAGGATAAAGGGGAAGATCGAAGGTTGACGATAGAAAGGGGAAGGGGAGGGGGGCGTAGAGAGGGGGAGCGCAAGGGAAACCCACCTGAGCAGCATGGAGGGAAACCCACCTGAGGAGCATTTGGAGGGAAACCCACCTGAGGAGCATTTGGGTCGTGAATAATCAAGTGCCTCTGTAAGAGGTAATCTGATGCAAAATCCTTCTTGCAGTCAGCATGTGGGCACACGAACGACGTCTGCAGCCGGGGAGGAGAGAAATGAGGACAGTGACAGATGAGCAGCAGCCGGGAAGAGGAAAGAAAGGTTTTGGGCGAAATAGGCTGCTTGCATGTGAATGAATGAACACACGGAGGAGCTCTGAAGCGGAAGGGGCGATAGGAGAGAACGGGAGGACGAGGCGAGGGAAGAGATGCAAGTGAAGATGGGAGGATGCAGTAGGAAAGGGGATAAGGAGAGATAGAGGAACGCCAAGAGGAAGAGGAAGAGGAAACAAGGAAAGAGGATGGTGTAAAAAGGGAAGGCAGAAGGCTGATTATATAAAGGGGAAGGAATAGGGGGGTGGCAGGGCGGTAAGAATGGAATGTAAATAGGCTTCTGAGGTGCCTCAAGAGGTGCAGGGCAGGCGGTAAGAGGGCAATGTAAGTAGGCACAGTTAGGTGCTATATTCGAGTGACTTTTGAGAATTCTCAAAAGTCACTGGAATGTAAGTAAGCACTTATAGGTGCCTGGTTTTCCAGTAATTCTTGACAAACGCCTTGGACAAGGAAAGCTCACCTCAGAAGCATTGTGTTTGTGCACAAGAAGGTGCCTTGTTAGCAAATCGGTCACCAAAAACTTGGGCAAATGGGGGAGAATGAAAGGGGGTGAGGACAAGGAAAGCTCACCCGAGAAGCATTGGGTTTGTGCACAAGAAGGTGCCTCGTTAGCCGGCAATTATTGGCAAAGGCCCTGTTGCAACCCACCCGCGGGCACACAAACGACCTCTGCTGCAAAAAGGGGGCATGAGAGGGCAATCGTGGGAAGAGGGGCAGGCGGTTAGAGGGGAAAGTGAGTTAAAGGCGTTGTGGCAACCCCCCCGCGGGCACACGAACGAACTCTGCTGCAGAAGGGGGGACCAGGGGGCCAATTGTGGGCAGAGGGGCAGGCCGTTAGTGGGTTAAAGTGACTTGAAGGCCTTGAGGCAACCCACACGCGGCCTTCGCTGCAGAACGGGCAACGGGGCCGGCGGTAAGAGGGGCAGGCAATAAGAGGTGCAGGCGGCAAGAGGGGAAACTGAATGAATGCCGCCTGGCTGTTCACATGCCAACACAGAACCGTCCTTTGCAGCGGAACGGGGAGTGGGGGACAGGAGAGAGGGGACGAGGGGGAAAGACGGGGAAACACAGCAGGGGCAGACGGGAAGAGTGGAAGGCCGAGGGGTAGTTTTCTAGTTGACTTGAAAGCCACTAGAGCCGGCACTAATGTGTGAGAGGGAAGGAGAGCGTGAGTGCGTGAGTGAAGGGGAAAGGGGGGGAGGGGGGAGAGGTGGGTGACTGCGTGAGTGAATGAGCTCACGAGTGGGCGAGTGAGTGAGGAAAACGCACCTGCTTTGAACGGTGCTTCGAATAGGTGCCCAGGTGCTTGCCTAAAGTCACCCACCGACCAAACGCATCACAAAAATGTGTGAGTATGGAAATCATTTGACCATTTTTTTTTAAGCAAGTTTTCAAAAATCGTTTGACAATCATCCTGGAATCATCTATATATCATTTGTATATCATTTTTTTTGGGCCAAATGCTTTGCTGATGTTTTAGTAATGGTTTTGCAATGCTTTCAATGGAATGTTTGTCAGATGTTAATTGTTGAAACAATAATAAGGTTGAAAAAGGTGTGTTTTATAATCCAACTCGGTTATGGTTTATCGACGTAGATGCAATTTAATATGCATCACCAGATGAACCTATTGAGCATGTTCACATCAGAGTCTCTGCAGCACGGGACAACATGCACTGCAAAAAAAAAATGAATTATGCTACCAAGAACAAGCTAAAAAGAACAAATTCAATTCCAGAAACAATCCACTTCGAGATTGAACCCGAGATCATTCACATGAGAGCTGAATATTATAACTCACTACACTACAACGACTGCTTTGAACCGATATTTTTATTTTACAGTACAAACTTAACGCGCATTTGCCAACCCCCAATTACACTTTCCCAACCAACCCTAACCAAGCCAGAAATCTCTCCAACCAACCAAATTCGCCTCATTCAATCCAGCTCAGCATACCACTTTGTTCAACCAATCAAAGCCGGCATTGCATCCACCTCAACAAAATCCAGCCCAACCACCACCACTTGTGCCAACTAACCAACCCCATCCACACCACCTCCCTGCACTCTACCCGTTACGCTTGCACAAAAAAGGTGAAGTGGGGTCTCCTTTTGTTATTCTAGAGTGGCTGTGACTGATTTTAGTTTAGTTCTTCCTTAGCACATTTTCCAATCTCGTTATCTCAACCGCTGCCATAGTCTCAACCGTTGCCATTGTCTCAACCGTCGCCGTAGTTTCAACTGTCGCCATAGTCTCAACCGTCCCAGTAGCTCGTTATTTTCTGCAATTGCCACGAGTGCGCCTAATTGGTTGTGTGTCTCTCCCTTCGTGCACTCCGTTTACTTTGTGTAGGTGTGTGCTCTGTGGTAAGTGTGCTTTCCTCGTTTAAATTCCTCTTGATCAACATATGCAGGTCGAAGCCCAGGTCGCGCTGTTTTCTGATTAAGGCCACGTTAGATCCTTCTCTGTATTAGCGGGAATTGTTATCTAACGAATGTCGTTGGCTGTGTTTCTACTATCATGCAGTCCGTTTACTCAGTGAGGCCTTGTGCTCCGCGGTGCATATCTCTCTCCGCGTTTTAATTCTTTGTTATCCCCGTGTGCAGGTCGCACGGTTTCCTTCAAGAAAGCGCTAGTTCCTACTCTTGCGCTTATCCAAACTGCTAGCTAATGAAACGCTTTCGTTTTTGTTCGTTTATTTCGCTGGCAGGCGGTTTTATATTTCCTAATAATCTCCGGTTTCAACCACTCCTTTTTCTGGTAAACATTCAATTTACATGTCACTGGTTTAAATTTCATGGCTAACTCTTATGGTGAACTGCAAGGGTTGCTTGGTGATTTGCAGTAGGTGCTGTCTTCGGCTAAGACCATGCCCAAATCATGTTTAAGGCGTAGATCACCCCCGGCAATAGGCGAGAGTAGTTCTAATTCTTTTTATCTGCCATTGTGTTATGGATATATTTTACATAATGCTGGCGTTTCTACTAATGCAAAATCTGAACCCAATCACACAAGAATCATGAAATGTTAAAATTAATAACGTTTGTGGAATGTCCAATTATAAACAGTATGAATTCAACATACAAACTCACTAAAGAGTATATTGCAATGAGATATAATCTCCAAAATCACTTTGGGAAAACTCGTATTAAACTTAAGTCGAAGGTATTCAAGATGCAGCTTTGAACTGAGAAGCATTGCAGAAGCATTTGAAAAGCATTCGACAAAGCATTTGGAAAGCGTACTATACTTTCTCAAAAAAGCGTTCGAAACAATACGTTTATAAATCATTCGACAAAGCTCCAGAGCAACTCTTCCCACATTCTTTGCACACATAGCGCTTCTCACAAGCCCCCTCCCCTATCTCCTCCTCCCTCTCACTCCCCTCCTCCCTCTCCCTCTCCTCTTCTCTCTCTCTCTGCTTCGTCTTCCCCTTCCTCTTCTCCTTCTCCACCGTTCTTTTCCCTTCCTTTCTCCCTCTTCCCTCCTTCCTTCCCTTCCTCGTTAAGCATTCCTTCTCCTTGCCACTCCCACCAGAAAACTCGTTAATATCCCGCCACCTGTTGTCCCCTATTGGAACTTCCACCACATCATCATCCTCCTCTCCTTCCTCACACTCTCTCCCACACTCCCTCTCACTCTCCCTCTCACACCCCCCCACACGCTCCACCCCACACTCCCCTACACACTCCTCCACAGACACCACTTCATACTCCTCCCCATCCCCATCTTCATTTACCTCTTCCCCCTCCCGCACCTCTTCCCCCTCCCGCACCTCTTCCCCCTTCCGCACCTCTTCCCCCTCCCGCACCTCGTTCCCCAGCCCCACATATCCCCCTTCCCCAATCTCTATCCCCATCCCCACATCGTGGCCTTCCCCCACCTCTTTCCCCCTTGCATGTAACTCTCTTGCCCATTCCCGTCCTCCCTGTAACCCGCAAACCCCCACACGACAACCCCCCATCCCACCACCGACCCCCCCCATCACCGCTCCCTCTGACTCACCGCCCCATAGCCCCTCCCCGGCGCGCTTCCCACCGCCCTCCCCACCGCCCTCCCCGCAGCATCCCCCTGCTTCCACCACATCCCGCTTCTTCCCCCCTTCCCCCTGCTCATCCTTAACCGCTTCTCCCCCGACCCGCGAAACCTGTTCCGCTTGCGGGGCTTCAAGCAAAAGATCCGCGTCATTTCCCTTTGCGGGAACGGGCGGAACGGGTGGAACCGGCGGAACCGCCGCGTCATGCTGCAGCTGCGCGGGAACAGGCGGACCCTCCGTGCCATTCCGCTGCGCGAGACGAGGCGGAAGCCACAGGGAGTAGAACCGGAAAGGCGGCGGGCCGTCCGGCAAATTCGCGCCTTCGAGTGACCCGCCGATACGCGTTACAAGGCGCATGGAATCTTGTACCGTTACCAGCAAATCCATTCCCAGCCTCTCTCCAACACGCTTCTAGACGTTAATTTTACTCCCGCGGCTTGGCGCGGTACCGACGGGGCAATGCGGACCCGCGCAGTGTGCTCTATACTACAGTAGTACTGTCGCACCCGCACGTCGCCCTCTTACTACAGGCACAGTAACTTGCGGAACGGCGCAGCGTACCCTATGCTCTATCACTCTCGCAACGGCGCCCTCTTACTACAGGGACAGTATTATCACACCGGCGGTTATTTATCCCCGCGGCTTGGCGCGGTGCTGACGAGGCAATGCGGAACCGCGCAGTGTACTCTATACTTTATCGCTCCCGCGACGGCATCCCCTTACTAACAGGTACAGTACTATCACACCAGCGCTCATATATTCCCGCGGATTGGTGTGGTACTGACGGGTAATGCGGAACCGGCGCAAGCACGCCCGCAACGGCGCCCCTTTACTGCAGGTACAGCTATATCACACCGGCGTTTCTTTACTCCTGGCACTTATTCCCGAGGATTGGCGGGGCACCGGCGGGGCATTGCGGAACGAACGCAGCAGTATACTCTATACTTCGCTCCCGCAATGGCATCCCCTACTAACAGGTACAGTAGTATCACACTAGCGTTTCTTAATTCCCGCGGATTGGCGGGGTATCGATGGGGCAATGCGGAACCGACGGGGCAATGCGGAAAGGCGCAATGTGCTCTGCACTCTATCACACCCGCAGCGCCACCCCCTTACTAAACGGTACAGTAACATCACACCCGCGCAGTATTCCAAACCAAACCCCGCGCAATGCAGCACTTACCGTATCCGCTCACGCGGTATACTCTATCGGTCAAATATAACTTCTCTTGCACGTGGTATACCCAACCCGTTCAAGCGGCCCGCAGCGCAGCGAGAATCTTGGAAGGTGAGGTGTTGGCGAAGCGCGAACGGGATGCTATAAAACTGCAGGGTGTGAACAAATGCTAGGAAATTGGCGCCCCAAAATGGTTGCGATTCGCGACATTGGCTGCCCCACGATTTGCCATGTTTCCTAAGCGCTGGGATAGAAAATTGTTGAACAAGAATGAATGAACTAAGAGTGAAATGAGTACAAGTATGAAAACCTAGGAATGTGTACCCCCTATAGGCTAACCCACAGTAGCCTAAACAACTACAACAACATATATAATGTTTGACACACCCCTATAGGCGAAGTGGGGGAGAACTAGGGGTCACAAGACCAGTCAAGTAAAGCAAAACAAAGCAAGCTCAGGGTGGATCACAACGTCACCACACAATCCAAGCACAAGTGCAAGGCCACAAGGCCAGTTCACATGCAGGAGTACAGATATATATATAAGACTAAACAAGCAAGAGCAGTGATATATATATATGTAACAGTACAAAGAGGGTCAAGAGGAGAGCAAGTGAGGCAAGACAGACACAAGACCCAGCTGGGTACAGCAGCGCTGATGATCACAAGGCGGAAGGGCCTTGGTGAAGACATCAGCAGTGTTGGCCTCAGAGGCCACGTACGCAAGTCGCAACTGACCACGCTGGTGTAGCTCACGAGCAAGGAAGTAGCGGAGAGCAATGTGCTTTGTTCTGTGCTCCAGTCTCTGCTCCCGACACAAGGCCAGCATGGCCTTGTTGTCGACGTACAGGACTGGAGGAGAACGAGGCGGCTCTCCAAGGTCGGTCAGCAGGTAGGTGAGCCAGCGAAGCTCCTTTGCAGCCATGGCCCCTGCGTAGATCTCAGCCTCACAACTGGAGCCAAGAACAGAAGACGAGCGAGTAGCCCGCCACGAAACAGAGCCGGAACCAAGGCTGAAGGTGTAACCCTGTGACGACCGCTGCGTAGCCTGGTCGTCAGCCCAAGAAGCGTCTGCGTATCCAGTGAGGACCACTGGACTCCGCCCTCCAAGCACTAGCCCCATGCCCGACGTACTGCACAAGTAGCGCAACACCCTCTTCGCTGCAGCCATGTGCTCTGGTCAGTGTCTCCCAGGAGCAACATAGCGTGCAAGAATGCTAAGAGGGTATGCAAGGTCAGGTCGTGTGCAGGTCATCAGGTACATGAGGCAGCCAACAAGCTCTGGGTACGGGCCACTCGACTCTACGGACTCATCCGAAGGCAGAGCTGAGAGCGAGTGGCGAGTAGACAGAGGAGTGGCCTGAGGCGAGGAGTACGTGAAGCCGAAGCGCTGAAGGACCTGCTGCACCATGTGTGACTGAGTTAGGGTAATGGTGCGGCGTGCTCTGTCCCGGGTGATTTGCAAGCCAAGGTAGTTGCGCAGTTCACCCAAGTCAGTGCACGTGTGTCTCTTCTGCAGCTCGGACTTCACGTAGGCGAGTCCAATAGTGTCAGCTGTGGCAAAGACCGAGTCGTCGACGTACACGAGGATGTAGAACGGCGGCAAAGAAGTGTCGGTGCGCAGAAACAGCGACGGGTCGGCAGTAGACGGAGCGAACCCAAGAGCCGCAAGCGTAGTCCTCAGTGTGTCGTGCCACTCACGTGGCGCCTGGCGGAGACCGTAGACTGGACGCCGGAGACTCCACTGGGTACCAGGAGAGAAAGACCCAGTGAAGCTAGGTGGGCGGCGCAGCCAGATCTCCTCGTGCAAGCTGCCCTGCAGGAAAGCTGTGCTGAAGTCGAGAGAGTGCAGCTCGTAGTCCCGGTGAGCAGCAACGTGCAGCAGTACCCGAAGAGTGGTCATCTTCGGGGTGGGGGAGAAGGTCCGAAAGTAGTCAACTCCCTGTCGCTGACTGAAGCCACGAGCCACGTAACGCGCCTTGAAGACAGGCGGAGAACCCGGCGGCCGCTTCACCCTGAAGATCCACATGCCACTGACGATGTTTGCCCCAGGAGGGGGGACAGCGTCAACGTAGGTGCCTGTGGACTTCCAGGAAGCCATCTCTGCGTCCATAGCTGCCTGCCACTGAGAGGAGTAGGGACCCTCTATCGCCTCCGCGTAAGAGCGCGGAGTCGGGATGTCAAGTGCATCCGGGTCTCCCTCAGGGGTAAGCAGTACGGACACGAGATGAGGTGAAGCAGCTGCCTGACACTGGAACTCCTCCTGCCTGTCCTCAAGGACGTCCGTGCCAAGGGCACACTCACCCCCGACGGACGGAGGACAGACAGACTCAGACTCAGCGACAAGACTAGCAGCGTAGTCTAGGCGACAGCGAGCAGCAAAGTCGACGAGCTCAGTAAGGAGAGCAGACGCAGCAGCAGACTCAAAAGAAGGGTCAGTGACGACAGTAGCAAGGAGACGCGTGACAGTAGGACTGGCAGCACGAAGAGAGTCCGACTCCGGGTCGGCAAGGGCAGGAAGAGAGGACTCAGGAGGAGAAGGCAAAGGGGCACGCAGAGGAGCAGTGGACGGACGTAGAGACATCCGGTGCGTGCCAGGGACAGGAGGAGGACGCTGGTGCGAACTACGAGCACTAGCGCTAGCAGGACGGACAGGCGACGCAGGACGAGACGCAGACTCACGTCGCTCAGTAAGACCGCCAGTAGGACCAGTGTAAGGAGAAGGAGCAGGTAGTGGGGAGGCCGGCTGCAACTGTAACTGTGACGGGACAGGCTGTGAACACGCTAAGGGAGGAGGACCAGGAGGAGGCGAGAGACCAAGAACCTGCTGAAGGAGCGGAACGAAGTACGGCTGAGGGCGCGCGGCGACTCCAGACACAGCAGGGACAGCACCTGTACCCCCAGCGGCAAGTACCAGAACCAGCAGCAGCTCCAACGCCCAGGTCCTCAGTACTAGCCTCAGCACCAACGCCCGAGTCCTCAGCACCAGCAGTGGCTCCAACACCAGGGTCCACAGCACCTGCCGCAGCTCCAACGCCCGGGTCCTCAGCACCAGCAGGGACTCTGACACCAGGGTCCACAGCACCAGTCGCAGCTCCAACGCCAGGGTCCGCAGCACCAGCCGCAGCCCCAACGCCCGGGTCCTCAGCACCAGCAGCACCTCCAACCCTCGGGTCCGCAGCACCAGCAGCAGCTCCAACGCCAGGGTCCGCAGCACCAGCATCAGCTCCAACGCCCGGGTCCGTAGCACCAGCAGCACCTCCAACGCCCGGGTCCTCAGCACCAGCAGCACCTCCAACGCCCGGGTCCGTAGCACCAGGGGCAGCCGGGTCTGTGAGACGAGGCGCACCACTCCGAAGTGTGCAACGGGGCTTGTACCACTCACGGATCCGCTCACGAGAGGGGAGCTCCCGACTAGGAGGAGAAGTACCAGCCCCAGTCCCTGTAGTGCGCCTGGTGGCCGCTTCACCCTGAAAATCCACATGCCACTGACGATGTTCGCCCCAGGAGGGGGAACCTCGTCGACGTAGGTGCCTGTGGACTTCCAAGATGCCATCTCTGCGTCCATGGCTGACTGCCACTGAGAGGAGTACTCACCCGCGATCGCCTCAGCGTAAGAGCGTGGGGTCGGGATGTTTGGAGCATCCGGGTCTCCCTCAGGGGCAAGCAGCATGGACACGAGATGAGGCGCAGCGGCTTCAAGACACTGAAGGTCCTCCTGTCTGTCCTCAAGGACGTCTGTGCCTAGAGCACACTCACCCTTGACGGACGTAGGACAGACAGACTCAGACTCAGCAACAAGACTCGCGGCGTAGTCTAGACGACAGCGAGCACCAAAGTCGACAAGCTCAGCAACTAGGGCAGACGCAACAGCAGACTCAAAGGAAGGGTCAGTGACAGCCGTGGCCAGGAGATGCGTGACAGTAGGACTAGCAGCACGAAGAGAGTCAGACTTCGTATCAGTAAGGGCAGGAAGAGAGGACGCAGGAGGAGAAGGCGGAGGGACTCACTGTGGAGCAGTGGAAAGACGAAGCGTCATCTGGTGAGTGCCTGGGACAGCAGGAGGACGCTGACGCGTGACAATACGACCAGTGCGAGCAGCAGGAACAGGTGACGCAGAACGAGACTCGGGCGACACAGGACGAGACTCCGGCTCACGACGCTCCGTAAGACCTCCTGT